TCATATGCTTCCTTGACAGTTTAGGCTTGGAAAAGTTAATTTTTGGGATTACAGCTCCCCAAATGAGCATGGTCCCAAAGTAACTTTCCCAAGCTCTGGTCTTTCTTTCCCTTCCCAAGTCTCCCCTCCGCCCCACAACTGGACAGACTATATGGAGCTGATGTGGGCTGCTTACCTCGTCTTTCCCGAACACCCGAACACAAGATGACAGCACAGAGAATGTATATGCCGCCAATCACCCCGGCAGCTATCATGTATGCATTTCTCTGGGAAGAGAGATGAGAAAGGCAAGAGGGGTTTCAAATGAGATGCAAGATTTCAAGATCAAGATTTCAAATGAGATGCAAGATTTCACATGGTGACCATTCAGTTGGCAACAGAGAAGAACAAAGAGCTCCCTTCTCTGATCCAGAAAACAAAACAAAATACAAAGCATCTTGAAAGATTATTATTGCCATTTGTATCCTCTTCTTTGACCAAGGACATCAGAGCCCTGGCTTAGTACCACGATCACCTTATGAAAGAGAAATGGGGCGGGATGTGATTCCTTTTACGTAAAGTCTTACTAGTCCAACATCCAAACTGCTACATCAGGCTGTATCTACTTGCAAAATGCCAGAGTTTAACAGACTGATTTGCCACCCTGTCAATGCAAGCTTTCTATGTCAGGATGGTCAATGTCTGCCCCATAGGCTGCACATAGCCCTTGAGGCCAATTCTGCAGACTCTGCCACTATTTCTTCCATCCAAAAAGTGCTGTTCCTTTTGCAGGAGCCTCATCCCAGCTGAAAAGATTCCAAATCAGAAGTGGTCTTCTGGTCAATCCAGTTCAGATCTTGAATGTTTGTGTGTGTGTTTATTTTCAAGTCCATTGTGGGTCACAGAGGCCAAAAATTGGTTCACGGACTCTCTGAGGTCCACTCTGATTTGCAATTTTGGGGGTGGGGTTGTTTGGATGAATTTGCCTAGCTATTGGGGGTCTTTTGGGGGCTTCCTGTGACCCATGGGCCTCATTTTCCTCATCCGTGCACCGGATCATCATCCTGATGGAGAATGAACAGCAGATGGAGGAAACTTCTTCCTTTTTCATGGACTAATGCTAGCCTCCTCATATACAGTGTGGTTGTCTGGAGTGGTGGAACTGCTACTCCCAACATCCCTTTCTGTTGGCTAGGGCTGCTGGGAGCTGCAGTCCAGCAACCACTGGAGGGTCCCACAATTCCTTCCCTTGCCTTAGATCATTGCAACCAAATGCGTTTAAGGAGTTCTCAGAAAGGAGTTCTGCATACCGTGTCTGTGAGTGAGCCAGTGTCATGGGTGATGTTGACCTCTTCCATGGCCACTGAAGAAGAGTTCTCAATGTTCAACAGAAGTGGGTCTGGAATGCATGGCGTGTTGACTTTGCCCACAATCTGCCCCTGGATGGCGGTTCCCAGGACGGTCCCAAGCACCTCCACCGTCATGCCTGTTGGAAAGAGAGACATAGACACACACCATGGTCAGGCTAACAAGTACAGGCGTAGCTCAGTAAACAAAGCAAATTTGTAAATTAGTAAATTTGGCACCAGATGTGATAAATAACATGGGAAAAATACAGAAAAGTTCCTAAATCACACAAAAAAACAGAGAGCAATACAATATGTTACAGCAAAAATGTTATTCCAGACAAATAATATGCACATGTGAAATGAAATAAGGCCAGGTAAGCCATGCATAAGTAGAGAAAAACATTTTGAACCTTTTGGAGAGCACCTGAACCCCCCCCCCCCCATGCATCTAAAGGATTACTTCTTTCACCAGCCTCCACTTTTCTTATGGTAGTCAAACCTACAGACCTGCGCTTTTTAACATACTGAGAGTAGTTGGTAAGGCAGGCTTATCTGTTCCCCCCTTTTCTCTTCTGTTTTGCTGTTCATGCATGGGATTCTGGGGGCAGCTGCTGTCTACCTTGCCTGTTATAGACAGGCACCCACAGCTATTGTAGGATTGGCTAGGCTAGAAGCCTGCTCTTTCCCACCTCAAGCTTTTAAAAAATGGCATTGTTTACTGTAAATATACTGCTGCAACCAAAAGTCTGTTTTTCGCCAGCCCTCCTTCATCCTCCTCCCAATGTTGCTAAAAAAGATCCAGCTAAACTGAGGAAGAAAAGGAGGGCTAAGGGGACTTAAAAAGGCTTTGCAACAAGGGAGCTTCACTGTCTAGGTATGCCTAGATACTGTAAGCAATCTTCACCAGAAAGGGTATATGTAATACTACTAGTAGTCATCATCATCATCATCATCTCAGTTGTCTGAGTGGTCACTTAACTCCTTTTTTGGCTTAAGTGGCTAGTGACAGATAAATATTCTGAAGGGCCAGTGAAGAAAATTTGCCCATTTCTCCTATTTCCTAGGTGCTCAACAGTTTTCTTTCATAACCCAGTAAGGAAAAAAAAAAATGGAGCAATGAAGGCAGTGAAATACAGCCATTAACCACAAGAGGAAAGAAGCAAGACTGCTTGCAAAACAGCAAACTCTTACAAACTTCTAGAATGAATGTATGTCTGGGTTTCTACTCTGAGGGGGAAAATGGTGTTGTGCACATTGCAATATAGACAGGTCGCATTGTAGCTGGAGGGTTAGACTTGCAAATAGCATTGTTGAGTTTCCCTTATCGTAAGGAAAGGGGCCAGAAAGTTTGTCCTATGCTTTTGCCAGCTTTTGTAAAGCTTAAACAGGAGGCCAAAAATCCTGTATCAGCTGCAATACAGTGGTAGAGGCAGCCTTGGTACATACATTAAGAAAAAGCTTCTGAAGCAAAAAGTAAGGAAGGGATGGAATTATTTAGAAAGGGTAAATGTATAAAGCTCCTCGCACGTGCCAACACCTACATGCCATCATCTGCATACTGATAAGACCTTCAGCTGTAATGTCCAGCGGTATCCACCCAAACTTTCAAGCCTAGGCTTGCAGGTGATTTGGGTACAGGAACAGGATTCATCATGCTTTTCTTCCAGATGTGAGCCCCGTGAGATCACTTTTGCTCCGAAAGAAATGGAAGAAGGGGAAGGAGGAGACGGGGTGGCAAAGGAGAGGATGCGAAGCATTTGAGGGACAAGTTTGGGGAGAAGGATTGGTACAAAGAGGGCAAAGGTCCTTACGGTAGGCTGTGGCAGAGTCCCGCTCGCTTTGCTCCCTGCTTATGAACATGGTGAGGGCTGAGTACGGAACATGAAAGCACTGCAGGAGAGAACAGAAAAACAAGGATGATTGAAGACCAGAATTTTTCTTTCTGGCATTTCACCTGCAATTGCAAGAGACAAAAGAACACAAACTGATGCTCAGAAGATGTATCCCCCCTCCCCAAATTTCCAGAAAACACATTGTGCAAGGGTTGGTTCCAGATCACGGTCGCACCAGCAGCATTCTGTTGGTGTAACTGTAGTACAAGAGATTGTACTTTTAAAGATACTGCACAAGTGTGTCCCTTAGTGTCAAATTCACCATTGGAACTAATGACCGTCACACAATAGTCGCGTTAGCCTGGTGCAAGTTACGCCATTGGCTGCACAATGGTGTAACCCAGTATACCGGTGCCATAGCGCAGCTAATGGTTTAGCTACATCAGTGTAAATATATATTCCATAAACCCCTCCATTGGATTTGGCCCCCAAAATCAAAAGCAAAAGGAGCAGGGTGTGCCACAAAAAAGGAGGCAGACTCACCGTCACAAGGGTCTGGAAAATACAGTAGAAGAAAAGGTACCACATCATTTGTCCCCTGGAGATGTCAGGCACAAACCAAATCAGAAAGTAAGAGATCACAGCGAAGGGAGTAGAAAACATAATCCTGTTGGGAGAGAAGGCAAAAATGAAGGCACTAAAAATACACTCTGGGGCTTGGAGAAAAAGACAAACAAAATATATTATACAGTGGGGCCTTGGTATCTGCTGGGGTTTGTTCCAGGACCCCCAAATCTGTGGATGCTCAAGTCCTATTAAATATCATTAAATACCATGGTGCCCCTTATATATATCAAGGTTTGTTAGTTGGAATTCATACTTTTTTCTGAATATTTGCAAGCCGTGGGTGCTTGAATCGGTGGTGTTCATCTGTGAGATGTTAGAGGCTATCATATAGGCAGAATAAAAGGGATCTCTGTTAAGGAAGAAAAAGTCTTAGTTTAGAAAAGTTTGTTTCTGGAGAGTTGTATTTCCCAGAATCCCCCAACCAGCATGTTGGTGGAAGGCTTTGGGAAGCTGCAGTCCCAGAAGTTTCTTTTCCAAGCTCCGAAAATACAGTGGTAACCGTGCCACCGCAAGTCCTTGGGCTGACTTAAAACCCTGTCACCCATTATTGTCATTCCAGCACGCTGTTGCAATGTGTCTTACAGTTGCAACCATTTCTATACCGAAGGGATTAAATGACCTTCAGAGTCCACTTCCAGCCTTAACAAGTTTATAATCCCAGGCCCATTGGAGCTCATGTGTGTTGGGGAAAGAGGCAATGTTCCAGAGAGCATAAAAACCCAAGTAAGGTTTGTGGAGCGAGGCTTTGATCACAGGGATCAAATCCCTGAGCTTAAAAACCTGTTTGAGAGCATCAAAGGAGAGGCTTAGCAAAGGTTGCTTTGCCTACTCAAGGAGGAGATAAAAACTGAGAAAAGGAGGCAGGGCAAGTTTGCATGCTGTGCAAAATGTGAAAAAGTGAAAGAAGGAACTAAAGCCAGTCATCTCCTCCACCCACAAAGGAGGGAGAGTCACTAGAATTATTGAACCTTTTTTTTTCTTTTGGGCACATACTTCACATACATCAACACCTGCCTGGTCCCTTCTAATGACTAAGAAGCAGGTGTAGGTGACCAGCTAGAGAAACTTAAGCAAAAATGGGTTTCATTTCTTTTCAGTCACAAGAAACAAACATGGACACATGTGGACATAGGGCAGGTGAAGGAAGAAAAGTTTCTCTGTGCATTTGCTATCACCCACAGAGTTTGGCAGACAAATATTTAACATTTTACCAGCTAGTGTGGTGTAGTGGTTTGAGTACTGGACTAGGAACCTGAAGAACAGGGTTCGATTCCCAGCTCAACCACAGAAACCCTGGGAAAGCCATACTCTCAGCCTCAGAGGAAGGCAATGATGAACTTTCTCTGAACAAATCTCACCAAGAAAACCTCATGTAAAGGGTCACCATAAGCCATAAACGACTGGAAGGTATACAACAGCAGCAAATATTCTAAAGGCACCAAATCCCATCTGATCTTAGATGCCAAGCATGATCAGCTCTGGTTAGTACTTAAATGGGGAAACCATGAACAAATACCAAGTGTTGCAGGCTATATTTCAATGGAAAGAACTGGCAAAACCACCTCTGAGTATTCCTCGCCTTAGAAGACCCTGTGAAATGCATGGGGTTGCCATAAGTTGACAGGCAACTTGAAGGTATGTACATGCATGTGCACACACAGAGAAAAGGACCTGATATCGGTATATATAAAGCATTATAGCTTCTCATCCAAGCACATAAATATGGAGAGTTGAAGCTGTGAGGGATGTGGCCCAAACAACACACACTCCACATACAAAGGTAACAACAAGGCTAGCATGGAAAGGGTTAATGATCAATAAAAAAATTAAATTGATCAGCACATTCTCTCTATTCATCTTCTTGGTAAGTGCAAGAAGCAACATGGGAAGGTGCACCAGTCAACATGCACACAAAAGCTCACACACAAATAGTTTTTTGTGGGTTTTTTGGGTTGTGTGGCCATGCTCTAGAAGAGTTTCTTATGATGGTTTTGTTGCAAGACCAGTACCACTTCAGAATGTGTTTACATGCCTGTGTATGTATACATCTGCAAAAAGCTGCACTCAAAACTGTGGGCACCGCTAAACTAAACACCACTATATGCTGTAAGGGGAAAAAGTGTGAGAGAATCTGATCTGGAAAGCACAATTCACGGGAAAGTCCTCATGCAGAAGCCTCGCTGAAATGTCCAGGAGTTGCCGCACATGGGGAACGCTGCTGTATTCTTGCACAACTCTAATTTCTTTTAGTTAAAGAACTGTGCAGAACATCTCTGTGGGTTGTGCCACATGTTAAGTTGTTGGGTGCTACCTTTCGGATTGTCTCCCTTGGACAACCAAACCAAGGGACTTTATGAGCACATTAGCCACATAAGAAGAAGATGTCATTTCCAGAATGCAGCTGTCTGGTGTGATGTGGATTGGAAGCACTCTGGGGCAGAGACTGCTTCACTGTTCTATTCTCTATGTTGAAACATGCAATAAAAAGAGGGCAGGTCTGCAGAAGGCTGCGAAAAAATTGCATTGGGGGTATAGGTTTGTGAAGATTTCAGAAAGGCTTCCAAGAGAACAAGAAGTGAAAAGTTCATTGCTTATTTCCGAGCTACGGCCACGTGGCTGAGAGTTTAATTTCTCTCTCTTGGGAGTAGCAGAAAATCCTTTCCTGCAAAGGCAGGGCAAGGCAAAGCAGGAAGGAGGAGGGAAAAAGAACATTTTTTTTTCCCCCGCAGAAGACACGTGGACATTTTTCTCCCAGTCCGTCATATCCCATGACAGGGAAGCAAGGATGACGTGTCTGGGAAAGAAAGCAAATCATGAGAGGCCTAAACTGAGCCCCTAACCTGCCACATGCTCCCTTCTTAAGACTGTTTCTGGCATAGTAAGTGCTTCAGGTTACTCAGTATTTCCACAACAATTTCTTTTTTGCTCTCCGCTCCCATCCCAGCTGAGTCACAACTTGTTCTCCTTCCAAACTCTACATTGATTTTGGTCAGAAAACCAATGAGGGTGGGATGGGAAATTATCAACTTTTGGAGGGATCCCTTTGTAAGATATCCATTTGGTTCTGTGGGGCAGGACAGTGGGTTGCCAGGAAGAAAAGTGGAAAGCGCTCCTGTATATATTAATGGTTGAGCTGGGCAGTTAAGAAAGAGAATAGGAAGAAAATCAATGCATTTGAGAGAATGTGGGGCTGGAGAAGAGTGCTGAGGATCCCATGGACAGCCAGAAGGACAAACAAATGGGTCCTAGAGCAGATCAAGCAGGAAAACTCCCTGGAAGCCAAGATGATCAAATTGAGGCTGTCGTACTTTGGTCGCATCATGAGAAGGCATGAATTATTGGAAAAGTCAATAATGCTAGGGAAGGTAGAAAGCAATAGAAAGAAAAGACCACCACATGCCAGATGGATGGACTCAAGCAGGGAGTTCACAGACTTGAATTTGCGGGATTTGAGCAGAACAACTGAGGACAAAGGGTCCTGGAGATGTTTCATCCACAGGGTTGCCAGGAGTTGTGGTCAACTCAAGGCCAGTTAGCAACAACAACCCAGAAAAGGGAATATCAGAAGGACGACATGTTGAAATTCAGCAGGACCGCCTGCTGAAATTCCCTCTTTTGTAAAACCAGTAAAGGTACAGGAGTCCTTTCCAACATCCACCATGGTAACTGCAGGTACAGAGGTAACTAGGGAGGTGGGCGGCAAAATGAGGACATTACTCCCCCAAAACTGAATTCTGTCCCCCTTGAAACTTTTATTCCGTCCCCAAATTTCCAGCATCCCAATACCTTTGAACCCCAGTTGGGCATTTAGAAATAGTGTACGAAAGCCAGTATGGCAGTGGTTTGAGTGTTGGACAATGACTCTGGAGACCAGGGTTCGATTCCCAGCTTAGCCATGGAAACCCACTGGGTGACTTTGGGCAAATCACATGCTCTCAGCCTCAAAGGATGGCAACGGCAAACCTCCTCTGAACAAACACTTGTCAAGAAAACCCCTCATAGATTCATAAGTCAGAAACAACTTGAAGGCACACAACGACAACAAATCCAATGAACAGGAGAAGGTAAAGTGACCCAGGGGAACATAAGCACACCAGATAGGAGAGTTCTACATATGGATGATTTTTAGTATCTCACTTGCTGCAACGCTAGGAATTTGGGCACTGAAGGAACATTTCTGTGTGAGGGCATGACTCTTATTGGGGAGGCAATAATCTCAATTTTGACTCACCCCCTTTTCATAGCTATAGCCCTGGCGATTAGTATCTATTTGATAAATAGGGAATGTCAAGTCTCAAGAAAAGATCATTCCAGCCTTGCTTGCTGAACCCCTTTTCTGCACACAAGGTGAGGAACTTGTGGTCTTCCAGATATTTTTAGGACTCTATTTCCCATCATTTCCAAACAGCACAGCCAAAGGTTAGGGACAATCTGATGGGACCCTCCACAGCAAATGCCAACACAGTAGAGGCAAGCGTTCTAGGTGTGAACAATGCCTAAAGGCTCACTATCTGCCATGCATGTACAATTGGCTCCTGGCATCTGCTGGGGGTTGGTTTCAGGACCCCCCCCCTCCATGGATACTAAAATCCATAGATGCTCAAGTCACATTAAATACAATGGCAGAGGGAATTGATGCTCCTTATATCAAATAGCAAAACCAAGGTTTGCTTTTTGGAATGTATATCTTTTTTTTTTTTTTGGAATACAGTCAGCCCTCTGTATCCCTGCATTTACGCATTCGCGGTTTGAAAATACTTTAAAAAAATGTATAAATTCCAAAAAGCAAAGCTTCATCTTGCCATTTTATATAAGAGACACCATTTTACTGTGCCATTGTATTTAATGGGACTTGAGCACCCACGGGTTTTGTTATCCACAGGGGAGTCCTGGAAACAAACCGCAGCGGATGCGAAGGGACCACCATATTTCCAAGCCATGGATGGTTGAATCTGTGGATGAAGAAGCTGTGGATATGGAGGGCCGGCTGTAATTTGGGAATTGCAGGAAAATTTCATTGTGGTGGGCAGATTTCTTTGTGGAGGGGCAATGTCTTCATCTTGCCCTCCCTTTAACTACACTCCTAGGGCAAGGGTGTTGCATCGGTCAAGCTGAGCCACCAGCTTCCTCTCTGTCCTTTGCTCCAGCCGCTCAGGGGGTGACTATGTCTTCCCAGCAGCTTGACTCTTAGTAACCTCCAACCTGAGGCATGCGAAGGCGTGGTGTGCTCAGCAATGAGATACGAAACAGGCTAGACAGGAGGCGCACACCCTGCCTATCCATTGGCTGAGCCGAAATGGTGTGTTCTGGTGCAAACGCCCACTGAGCCCTGGATAATGTTGCAGCTGGCTTTAACCGTTTTCCCGGCGGTGCAAAAGCAGCTTCCTTCCACCAGAGATGCTCGTGAGTAGAAAGGAAGGAAAGTTGCATGAGTGACCTTTTTGCTCCAAGCAAAAAATAAAAATAAAAATTGGAAATTACAGGCTGGTTAAACTCAGTCTCAAGGGAAGGCCATGGCAAACCTCTTCCGAACAAATTTTGCCAAAGAAAACCCCATGATAGGTTCGCCTTTGGGTCGCTGTAAGTCGGAAACGACTGGAAGGCACACAACACACACATACTCTCGCTACCATCTCGAGTTGCAATTTGAAAACAGGAGAGTTAATTTTGGGAAAATTCATTTCCCGTGCTAGATCCCCTACAGTTTACACTTGGCCCTCTGCATCCACAGATTCCTTCTTCAAGAATTCCACCATCCATGGCTTGAAAATGTTAAAAGAAATATAAATTCCAAAAAGCAAACCTTGATTTTGCCATTTTGCATAAGGGACACCATTTCATTGTGTTGAATGGGACTTGAGCATCCACAGATTTTGGTATCCATGGGTGTGGGTGGGTTGGTTGGTTCCTGCAAACAAACCCCAGCGGATACCAAGGGCCCACTGTATTTCTAAAATTAAGAAGGATCATGAAAACGTTGCTCTTTAAGGAACATGGACCCATCTACTGAAAGCTGAGAGCTCATGTGACATAGTGGTTTGAGTGTTGGAATAGGACACTGGGAGATCAGGGTTCAAATCCCACTTAGCTACAGAAACCTACTGGGTGACCTTGGGCAAGTCGCACTCTCTCAGCCATCACAAGAGGAGAAACAGATGATAGATACAGAAGTTGCAAGCAACATGCTGCAGAAACATTTTGGAAGCCTACACAGACTTTCCTGAGAGTAAGCTCCATAGAACATGGAGGGTCTTGCTTTTGTGTAAACATGCACAGGCATACATT